AATGTCCTAATTTCATTATCATACTAGAGAAACAATTTTACTGGATATATGATTCTTGGTTGGCAATTATTACCTTTCAGAATTTTATATATGACATCCCATTGCCTCCTTGTACAGTGCTGCTGAGAAGCCTGTATGCACATTTTTTGGGGGGGCATATATTTTCAATTTTCTCAACTGCATACTTAAGAGTGGACTTGCTAGCTCATATGGCAATTCCATGGTTTAATATTTTGAAGAAATACCAAAGTATTATTTTTGGTATATTAAATAAAATACCAAAATTTTGCATTCCCATCAGCAATGTATGATATAAATTTAATAAAAATAAAAGTACACTTAATTTACTTCTGTCATCTCATTGGTGCACTATTTTCAGTACAACGTTAAGTAAGAACCAATGGTCATCGAGTCAGTTCTGATTCATAATGACACAGTGCATATCAGAGGAGAGAACAGATTTTCAATGGCTGACTTTGGAAGTGGAGCTCTAGGTCTTTCTCTGTAGGACCTCTGTGAGGACTTGTCCTTCTAATTTTTTGGCTATCAGCCTAGCACTTTAATCATTCGCACCTCCATGGACTCTACAATGTGAAATAATAAGGGTTACCACGAATATCCTTACTTTGCGGGAAATGACTTAAGTGTTAAATAAGTGAATTAATCTCATTACTTAAGAATTCTCTACTGAATAGACAATTTGTAATTGTCTTGATGTACGTATTACTTTGTTTACAGATTGCTTGATTTGCCATATTACCTGATTTCCACATCAGTGAGGGATGGGTAATGATGTTGAACATTTACAGGAGTCTTTTATAATGGAAATAACTTTCAGTTTTCAATATTGGCTGGAAAATGATTATCTTTACCAAGAATTAAATTATATTACTCTGTATCGATTATACCAGCAGAAAGGAATAAAATAGTCAAATCCAGTATTTATGAGGAAAGTCATATTTTGATAACAACCTGATAAACTAGAACACAAGTTTTAAAATTGTTCTTAATCAGAGAAATGGACACACAGGAAGAAAGTGGGACAAGTGACGGTGCATTGAGTGGATCACATGGATGAGGGGAAACAAAATGTGTACGGATAGTCACATGGCAAACTCATGAGCTGCTTGGTAAACCTTCACTTAATTAACAGTTAAAAGGTTAAAAAATGATTGATAATTATATTATTTTATCATAGGTAGGCATAATAAATCATATGAAAAAATAATGCTTATGGAAATGATATTTTTAATATTCCAAAATTTTCATTCATTTGCAAATGGAAGAGTAGGGGGCAGTTTTGAACAAATGTATATATCGGCACTCCTCAAATGCTGCACTTATGAGTCATGTGTAAACTATCTTGGTATAAAAAAATTTACATCTAATATATACATAAAAAAGAGTAACAATTTAAGTTAGAAAGGTAGAACTAAGAATATCAGTGTACATTAATTTAGTTAATTAATTAAATCATTGATTTAGTTAATGAGTCATGCCTGCCGAGAAATTCAGAAGGATTTTCCCAACTGAAAAAGCCAAACTCACTGCTATCGCGTTGACTCCAGCTCATGACAACCCTATGGGATGTGGTAAATCTTTGTATTTTAAGTTAAGTGGGTTCATTTTACTGAAAGTACACAGGAAGCACAATTTCAAAAGTAGACTGGAAACTGCTCTGTACATGAATATAATAAGAAGGTGAGCCCATATTAAACCCCACAATGTTCTTCCAAAGAGTGATTGTACAGGGTCCCTTATAGTTACACAGTGTAGGCCAGACCAGAAGGTAGTTCCTTATCAGAACAATTCATGGAAGTGGATTCCCTACTGAGAGCCGAAGGAAGGTTGAACATGATAGTGGGATAGGAGGAAAGCAAAAGAAAATAGAGGAAAGAATTGGGGGGCAAAAGACATTTATACAGGTATAAATATAGGCATGCACATATGTAAGTATATTAATATATAATGATAGGGATATAGGCCTATATATATACACATTTTTATGTTAAGTATTAAGGAAGCAGGCGGATATTGGGCCTCTATTCAAGTAGTCCCTCAATGAAAGAACACTTTGTTCTAATAACCTGCCATTCTGTGTCGCTCACCTTCTTGACATGATTGCTGAAGACAAATGAATGCATAAGCAAATGTGGTGAAGAAAGCTGATGGTGGCCAGCTATTGAAAGACGTAGCATCTGGGGTCCTAAAGGCTTGAAGTTAAACAAGCTGTCATCTAGCAGGGAGGCAAGAAAGCCCACATAGAAGAAGCACACTAGCCTGTGTGATCATGAGGTGTCAACAAAATCAGGTATCAGGCACCAGAAGACCCCAAACAATCATACCTATGTGAACAAGAGGGATCAGAGTGAAGACCCAAAGTCCATCTGTAGACAATTAGACATCCCTTACAGAAGGGTCACAAGGAAGAAACGAGCCAGTCAGGGAGCAGTAGAGGACCGATGAATGATACAACTTTCCTGTAGTTCTTTAATGCTTCCTCCCCTCCACTATCATGACTTCAATTCTACCTTACAAATCTGACTAGACCAGAACATGTACACGGGTACAGATAAGAGCTTGTAACACAGGGAACCCAGGACAGACAACCCCCTCAGGAACAATAATGGGAATAGAGATACCAGGAGGGTAATGGTAAGGTGGGGGGAAAAGGGGGAACTGATCACAATGATCTACATATAATCCCTTCCTAGACGAATGGACAACAGAAAATTGGGTGAAGGGAGACAGCAGTTGGTGTAAGGCATGAAGGACGGAGGGGTGGAATTATAAACTTATAAATTATGAAGGGTTCATGAAGGAGAGAGGGTGGGGGGGAGGGAAAATGAGGAGCTGACATCAAGGGTTCAAGTAGAAAGAAAATACTTTGAAAATGATGACAGCAATATACGTACAAATGTGCCTGACATAATGGATGTATGTATGGATTGTGATAAGAGCTGTAAGAGCCCCCAGTACAATGATTTTTTAAAAAACCCCTCACTGCCATTGAGTCATTTCTGACTCATAGTTACCCTGTAAGACAGCATAGAACTGCTCTGGTGGGTTTCCAAGACTGTAACTCTTGAAGGGCGTAGAAAGTGTCATATGTCTCCTACAGGGTGGCTTTTGTTTTTGAACTGTTAACGTTGTGGTTAGCAGCCCAACACATAACTATTCTGCCACCAGGGCCCCGGGACCACTTTGCTTCACTTCTCTTTATTGTCAGAAGATAGTGTGCTCATTTAATTAAGATGAATAGGGAGGAGGTGAGCTGGATATCAAGAGCTGACTTCCTCAAGAGAGGCTTTTATCTCCATCAATCACAACCTGCATCACTGAAATATACACCCACATACCTGGAAGGAGACAAAGACATCAAACATACAAAGTAGCAACCCAGTGTAGTATTTTGAGTGCCTTTGAATGATTGTGTTGGCAAAGAATACTGAATATGCCATGAATTGTCAGAGGAACCAGTAAATCTGTCTTGGAAGAAGTACAGCCAGAGTGTTCCTTAGAAACAAGGATGGAGAGGCTTCATCACACTTACTTTGGTCCCTGGAGCAGGACACCATGCTGATAAAGTAGAGGAGCAGAGAAAAAGAGGAAGCTCTTTAAGAAGATGGGTTGACCCAGAGGCTGCCACAATGGGCTCAAGAAGCAACGATTAAGAGGATGGCAATGGCCAGGCAGTGATGGGGTTGCTATGAGTTGGATCTGACTCAATGGCACCTAACAACAACAACAATAATATTTTAATTTCTTATATAAAATTATTGGTATGGCTGTACCTTGTTGCCACAACTTTTACTGACTTAGATTTCCAAACTTTTTGCATTCATCAATGATAACCAATATATTATAAAAATATTAGCCTGAGTTGACCTTGAGGGATTATGAAACAATGTGATCAATGGCTGGCTAAGAAGCTATGGGTTGGTTAGGGTGAGATTAATTGTTTAAAGGTTACTCTCATAGTCCAGGTGGTTTAAAACCACTGGAGATTTCTGTTTGAATGAGAGTGATGGTGACATACTATATTTTATGAATATTAGTCTGCTGGTAATGTGAAGAATATATGCAAATGGGATGGAGAGACTGAGAACATAAGACCCACTAGAAGGGAATTTTGATCATTCAAACAGGATATTCCGAAGTGTCTACAAATCTTTCTTCCCTAACTTCATGATTTAACCATGCAGTGAAGGTCAGCACTTATTCAGTGGTGCCGTATCATGCCATGCGGTAAGCATTAGGACTACAAAGATGAAAATGAATGAAGTTTTCATGTGAAATTGAAGGTGGCAGGAACACGTGAGCCTTGGAAGCGTGGTGAAGCATTGTAGTGAATCTACCGAAAGACTCCATCCCTGGTCCCATCAAACTCTTCCCAGCCCTCCTTTGTAGCCATTCAGCAAGGTAGCCTCGCAGACCTGGGGAGCCTCCGTATCAGGGAGACTCTTGCCAGGGCTTCCTTGGCGTTTATTCTTGTCACATGCAACAGTGCAGCCAGACACTTCTTTTGGTCACGAACCATTCAACATTGTTGCAGGAGTACTCAAGAATTTTGTTATATTATAAATTTGGTTGGCTATGATTTTAGAAAGGATGATTGTAGTAATTTAAGCAAATGACATCACCCGATGATGGGTTTACTCTGATTCAGTCCTGTAGCTTAGGCATGACTATATCATGTTCAGACTACAAGTACTGGTGATCACATCTCTGCTTCTCTCTCTGTCTCGTATTTCTGCTTAGTGTGTTGACTACAAAAGGGGTGGAGAGTACCACATTGGCTATCAAGCCACCACCACTCAACCAATCCAGTTGCCATGGAGACCCATTATCTCACATATTAGAACTGCACTCCACTGAGTTTTCATAGCTGTGGCCTTTTGGAAACAGATTACCAGGTCATTTCTGGATAGGTGTCTAGATCAGTTCAAAATGTCAACTTCTTTTCAGTTAGTAGGCAAAGGCTTAACCATTTGCATCACCTAAGGGGAGTGTATTTTCCTAACCCAAATGAGTTTTCTCAGGGAAGACTTGATGTCTCGGTTCCGTAAACTGTAGATAAAGGGGTTCAGCATTGGGGTAACCACCGTGTACATCACCGATGCAATTGTGCCAGTCTGTGCTGAACGGGCTGAAGGAGGGCTGAAATAAACACAGAAGGAAGTCCCAAAGAAAAGAGAAACCACAGAAAGATGAGAGCTGCAGGTAGAAAAGGCTTTCCGCTTCCCCTGAGCTGACGGGATCTTCAGGATGGTTGAGAAAATATATGAGTAAGAGATCATCAGAGAAAGCACGCACACCAGGCCAGCCAGTCCCCCGACTATGAAGATCACCAACTCATTGATGAAGGGATCGGTACAGGACAAGTTCAGGAGGGGGTTGATGTCACAGAAGAAGTGTGGAATCTCATGGTCTGCACAGAAGGACAGGTTGTTCATCAGGAGTGTGTGCAGGAGGGAGTGGAGGGCATTCATGATCCAAGAGGCACTGACTAGGAGAACACAGAGCCCAGGGCTCATGACCAAGATGTAATGGAGTGGGTGACATATGGCCATATAGCGGTCATAGGCCATGACGGCCAAGAGGAATGCTTCTAGCATCACGAATAACATGAAAAAATACAGTTGAGATAAACACCCTGCATATGAGATGACCCGGCTCTGGATCCATATGTTTGCCAGCATCCTCGGGACTGTGGTGGACACAAAGCAGACGTCAGCAAGGGAGAGGTTGGCCAAGAAGAAGTACATGGGGGTGTGGAGTTGAGCATCAGAGATGATGGCCAGAATGATGAGGAGATTGCCTGCCACAGTGACCAGGTACATGGACAGGAACAGCCCAAAGAGGACCTCTTGCTGATCCGTCTGCTCTGAGAATCCCATGAGAAAAAATTCTGTGATGCTGGACACATTTTCCCATCCCATTTGTCTGGAAGCAGAAGGTTGGGTTAATTGTTTTAAGTCTTGGATTGTGAATTCTGAAAATTCTGTACTATTCTAATCTTGATTTCTAGATAGAATCATACGGAATGTCTAATATTGGACTGTGTGGAGCCTACAAAAATGGCAATTTCACGTGGTTCCACTGAATATTTGCAAATGTTTATGGTTGGTGCCATGGGAAATCAAAGATTTGTTTCCAATGAGAGAAGAAGTTATTCACCTTCTTAAATAAGCTTAATCCAATACATACACTCTGAGGTGTTTGCTGGCCTAACTATTATGCCGTTACCATGGAAATCTTGGCTTTAATAAACTTAATGATTTCACACGTTAACTGAATTCCCTCTAGTGACATTACCCGATGCTTTTAACCAGTTCCCAAACATGGATATTGGAAAAGGCGTTTTGGAACTGGTAAAAAGCATGCTAACACTGAAATCATGATCATCCTCTACACAGTTTTCTTGGCGCCAAACCTGGGCACCATCCCTGACCGGGTTTTCTTCCTGATACGCCACGTCCAAATAATTCTTACATTTTGGTCATTTCACTTTCTCAGTAGAGCTCAAAGGTTACCCATTTTCTCTCTCTCCCTGTTGTGCCTACCGGATATCAGCGCACCATGATTTCTAACTAGGATTTGGCTAATTATTCTTCCTGCCGTTGGTCATACCCACCTGTTACCTGCATTCTTTATTACATCAGCAATGCGATTTCTAGAAATAAAATTTGATGTTGTTTTCCTGTTTGAGAAAGTTCCCCATCACTCTCAGGAGAAACTGAATTTCTTAACCTGGCCTGCATCCTTGGTCATCATTGGTACGACCCTAGTTTTCCCGATCTCTCACGAACCCCCTTCTCCAATTGTACTAGACCATTTTTGATGACTTATTCTAGGTTTTGGCTCAGACAATTTCCTCTGCCTGGAATAGGTTTCTCTTTCTCATTCCTCAATCTATGCCAAACCTCAAATCTCAACTTAGACGTCACTTGTTCTAGGAAGCCTTCTGACCCATCTCCTCCTGTCCCTGTTCTCCGTATACTCCTATAGTTCCCTCCACCCTGGTAGATGCCACTGGGATCGTAACAGTCTGTATTCCTGGCTGTGTCCTTTAGTCACCTGAGAGCATCAGGGAGTTCAGAGAGAAAGTGCCTGTCTCACTCTCCTTTGAAATCTGGCACTAACACTGGAACCTGGTACAACATGTGCTCAATATCAAGTATGTGAATAAATAAACAAAAAAACCCCCACACCCCAAATTTCAACAAATGGAGAAGGAGATTGTCTAGAGGTGATAGCAGGCAGAGGGGACAGCTTGAATTATTTTATGGTCATTTCACATATGACTGTGAGCCAATTCCTAGTCATTTCTGGAACAGGCAGGAAACATATGCTTATAGAGACATGAAGAAGCCAAACGAAACAAACAATCAGTATTTCAGTTGGAGAATTAACCCATAGTATCAGTTTCCTCCGAAGCTAATTTTTGTCCTCTATGAAGTTAAGTATGTCCTGTGAGTCTATCAATCCTGTTTACAGTCACCCTGAAGCTTGTTTCTTGCTGAGCGTTGACTTAGCAGAAACCTCAGCCTCAGCCTAATTCCCTTTCTATTTTTCTTTCATTTCCTGAGTCCCAGGCCCAAACAAAGAGGCCTCGTTTCCTCTTTTCTTTCTCCTTCTACCCAACGTTAGTCCCAACTTGTAGGCCATATCTTGTGCAAAGAATACTCTGCCCTTCTTCCAAATATAAACCCGTCTTCCTTCTTATATTGGATCAATGGACATCTTCCCAGGATTGTTATGGATGATTATGAAATATAGCCCTGGGGTTGACAGAATATCATTTTTGGTGAATTCAATTGTTTGCCCCAAGGACCTAGATTCAGGTTTAGAAGGGGACATTGTAGTTAGATAATTCATGTTCCCCACTGAGGAGTCAAGCCCCGTGGAGTAATAAGTGAGTGAACATTAAAGGTAAGGAACAGAAGGAATAAGATCATGGTTGTGGCAGAAGTAATCAGGCTGCTTCTCAAACCTCTACCCTCATGATCTGTTCCAAATATGAATATTTTTATAACACACTCTCAAATAACATGGTTGGTATTTCATAAAAATATTTAGCCCACATTCAAGTTTGAATCATGTGAACGTATTGCTAATTAAAAAAATAAAGTAATGGATTAAGGAAGCTTTACCCCAGAAAACAAACACGGGCTCATAGAATAAATACAATAAGTATAATGGAGGACAATTTTTTTTTTAAACGGAGGACAATTCAATATACTGCAGCACTGGTTTTATAGAAATCCCATAAATAGTAAAGACATTTGCACATTCTTTTTCTGCCTTAATTCTGTGTGGGCTTGAATGTGCATGCATATGTGTGTGCATGCGTGCATGTGTGTATATATTATTGTGGGTGGGGGTTTGGTTAAAAGCATTATCATGGGATTACCTGCTTATTCCTGTGTTCTGTTATCATTGGGATCAGAAAGGCTCTCCTTGTCTTTAAGATCTCAAGGCTCTAGGTCTCTGCCCCTGCTGACTGTTAAAGCATCACTATCATTACTGTTACAGGACCTTCTGCAGAAAGACTGTATTTGAGTTAGGCTCCCAACTGATCAAAGGAGGAGATGGTAGAACTGGCAAAGTGGAGAGGGGTAGCGGGGGTCGCGGGCAGGAGGGAGAATTATAAAGGAGCTGTGTACCTCTCTCTCCTAGTCCTTACCTGAATATTCCTGCCACTCGCTGGGGCTGTTAGTGGCTGACCTGTTTGTTTCATATATCTCTCGCCCACTGTGGATGATGAGAAGATGACAAGAACTGCTAACAGCATCAAAAGGAAAATTGTTTCATGTGCTGGGTGTGTCAAATCATGGTTATTGCCACTACTGCAGCTCCAGTTTCTCCTTTTGTCTTACAGTGTTAGAGAAATCTTCTGTTTGTGTCCACTCTGAGAATAATGGAGCAAGGGCTCTAGGACAGGACCAGATCAGGCCCGTGTGGGTTATCCCTGGAAGCTGCAATTGTAGAACACTGCAGGAAACCTAATACCAACCACATAGGCTCCCTTTTCTACTTTTTCAGAACCTGATGCTGATGTCTGCCCTTTCTCTGACTCATCAAAGCCCATGAGAAATGTGCTCTCATTATTTCATCAGTACCCCTGGAATTAGGGTTCTGTTATTCTTAGCTTCAGGTTGGATCGATCTTAAAGTATGTTAAATTGAGATAATTAATTCTGTAAGGTACCAAATCCCACGAGGCCCAAGAATTCAGTGCTATGTCCCTGCTGTGAGCTGGCCCAAGACAGGAGAAGGTGTTAGAGAATTTTCTGTGATGCTGTGGTGGACCCTACAGGATTTTGATATTCCATGCACCAGCAGAGTAGCTGAGCGAATTTTGATGGCTTCATTTCATCTTGTGATTATTTTGAGCTTTTCAGGGAGACCCGAGCAAGGTTTTCAGCATCATGAAAGATGAGGGTGAGCCACTGTTGGCTCTTCTTCTAGAAATGCTAATCCTAGGTCAGCTTAAGACCACGTCTATGCTATTTTGACCTCCTCTGGGCATTCTATAGCATGTGGATGCCAGTAACCTGAATCCCACTCTTTCAGATATTGGATAAATATATCCTTGGGAAGTCTCTTCATTTTCCTGTAGAACTAACCTCCTAATAGCCTTCCTTATCCAGGGTCATCTAATCAGGGTACATATAGAGTAAATAAACACAGAAAATAAATGACCTGGAAGTATGGATTATTCTTGGAGTTTCTTTGAAACAATGTCTAATTTCTTGTGTGTTCTAGGAGTGCTGGTATGACACACCCTTAGATCAGGAAATTACTAGTTTAAGAATATTATTCTACTTGATTAACCAAATAAGTCACTCTATAACTACATGCTACAAGATTCAGTTTAATTTTTTTCTCTTATAGGAAAAGAGACAAGCAAGGAAAGTGTGACCTGATCTTTCTAAGAAGAGTGTGGAAGCACATGACATCCAGATTCTGTTTGCCAGGCATGTAACACTAGGCATGTGTGGCACCAAGTGTTAGTTATCCATTGACTTAAGTGTGTTGAGTTTGTCTTCCTATATCGTTTCCTTTTTCTTTGATTCTAGAGAGAGAAGACATTAAGGGAAACCCAATCCAACTGAGGCTTCCTCAGTTTGGCCATCCCTAGAGACCTCCCACAATTTCCTTTCTAAATCCTAAAGTATTTTTAAAATGCTTGCTCCTTTCTTCTTTTAAAAATTGTTTATATATAATATTTGCCAATTCAGCTTTATTCAGGTATAAAGTTTAGAGCTATCAGTTACATTGATCATGCTGTACAACCTTCACCCATGACCACTGCCAGGTGGGATTCATACCAGGGATGTAAGGATGACTTGACTTTAGGAAACAATCAAAACAATTCACCACATAAATAAAATGAAGGCAAGGAAGCATATGATAATATCCACCAACAGAAAAAGGATTTGACAAATTCCAACACTCATCCTTGATAAAAATATTAGGCAACATAGGAATAGGTCAAAATTCTGCAGCATAATTCAGGGCATATACACTAAATGGAAGGCCAATATTAGCCTCAATGAAGAGAGATACAAAGTATTCCCCTGGTGACTGAGAGCCAGACAAGGATGCCCTGTATTACCTCTTCTACTCAATAATGTGCCGGAAGGCTTAGCCAGAGCTATAAGGCAAGAAAGATGAATTGAAAGCATCCAAATTGGCAAAAAGAAGTAAAAAAATATCTTTTTTTTTTTTGCAGATGACATGAGCTTATATGTAGAAAATCTCAAACACTCAGGAAGAAAATTACTGGAACCAAATGAGATTAGATTCAGCAAAATGGCAGGATACAAGGTCATCCCACAAAAATCAGGCTGATTCCTTTACACTAACAAAGAGAACTCTGAAGAGGAAATTAGGAAGATAATACAATTTACAATAGCAACTAAAAAGATATAATAATTAGAAATGAGTCTAATCAGAGACACAAAAGGCTTGTACAAAGAAAACCACAAA